AATTTTCATATTATTTTAAGTAGAGAAATATACTTTAATACCAGGTAATGTCTACACGAGTTAAAACTTAATTATAATCAAGGTTAAATAAATATATTAAAATTTACAGAAAAATTAATTAAAAAACTATTTTAAATGTCATCTCTACCAAAAAATTTAAATTTCTTTGAATTAAACTTATTTTTTCTTAGAATAAATACATCATAAGCTATGCCAAGGGGTCGTTGGCAGTTCGGAGAACAAAACTTGGTTAGTAGATGAGGAAGAGCTATCGTAGATAAAAAAAAAAAAAAGGGAGAGAGAATGTCGCCACTAACACCTTATCAATTCTGGTTCGTCACTTCCGTCCAGGCATTTCCCGGTTAACGGAAGAGACTTTGGAGGAAGAGTCTCAGAGATAGGGAAGAGTGGTTCTGTTTTGGATCTGTTCAGGAAACAGCCCGAGGTAGGCTGCGGATGATAGCCAAGCCTTTTGTCTTTGACACCATCCTTTTTCTTCCTTTGTACTTTTTACTGTGCTTCTCCCTAAGGAGAGAGAAAAGAGTAAGAGAGAAAGAGAGGGAGAGAGAGTTTGTTTGCATGTAGATTTTCTAAATCAACCGATCGATTTATTCATAAGCGGGCCCGAAACCTTATAATTTCATTTAGGAAAATAATCAGAGTAATGGCTATTTGATGACTATTTTGAAGCTAATCTACTGAACCTTGTAATAATTTTTTAGCTTTTAAGCCAGTTTAAAATACATTTCAACGTAAAAAATTTAAGGTTTTAACTTAATAATACCTGTTAGATACCTTAAATACACATTTAAAAATTTGTTATATAGCCTACCTTAAATTTACTTTAGACATATCTGTTATATGTAGAATGATCACACTGTTTATCGCCCAAACTGGAACAGTTTTTATGAAGACATAAAAATTTAGTCTAAAAAAATGACTAAATTTAGATTAACTTTTAGAAAATAATTTGTATATTTACCTGTAAATTAGTTATATTGCGTTAGAGAACCCATAAAATGGTTATATTTTAAACGTTATTCTGTTTTTGAGGATTAAAAACATGAAAAATCCGGAACTATCCCGGACAAACCGGGACGTGGGTTCATTATAGTTATATACTTTGTCTGTTCTACACCTTAAATATACCTCAAAATTACTGTAATAACTTCAAAAATTAATCTTTTAAAAGTTGAATATTAATAAGAATTGACTGTAAATAATATTATTTAACTAAGAAGAAATTAGGCAGATTCGAGACTTCTTTTTTTAAAATGGGACGGCGAAGGTCGTTATCGTAGCGCTTTACGAAGGAGCCGAGTAATAAGTAAAGTCGACTATTGCTACAGTATTTTTTGGAAATATTTTTGGAGTATCGAAATTCATAATGCGATAAAGTCAGCTGCAATCTCGTCCCAAATCATTTGTAACCCAAACCACTCGGGCTGCCATTATAAACGACGCCAAAACAGTTAGGCGTCGATGACAGCATCGTTATTGAATCACATGGAGACGTTTTCCCATCTAGGAACCGATATCGCAACGCTTTATCGTCGAATCCGAGAGTGAAGGGAGAGAGATAGTAGCAGCTTATTGTTTGATCAAAGCTGCGCTACGTCTCTCCCCCTTCTACTTTATTATCGTCTTTTGGATCTCGGTTTGGCGGGTTTCCGCCATTTTCGCTACTCCAAACATGCTTGCGCCATTTCCTACGGCCAGGCAACAATCATTTGAACCAACTGATGATCAACAACTGGCGTTATTAAGTGAAGCCATTTCAACAACGCCTCTTACACAGAAAGCAATAACCTTTCTGCTACTAGTCATGACAAGCTCTTGGGGCCACAATGGCGAGATTCGCGGGCGCTGTAGGGCTTTGCCACTACATCTGCCCACCCTCCCTACGCTCCCCTTTATCGCAACGTTTCTGATTGCTATGCTCTGGGACTTTATGAATAACAGCAAGTACCAGCTACAGGAAATTAACTGGGCCATTTATTGAAAGGACCCCGAGTACTACCCAACTTGTTTATGATGCCCCGATCGCTTTAGGCTGTGGGAGCTGACTTGATTGCACGTGGAGTAAAGGAGGGGGAATCGTCAACGCCCGCTGGCTAAAGAAATACACAAACGGTATTTTTTCCTCTCCTTCTTCCTTTTAAGTCGGACGATCCAGATAGACGGATGTAGTAGCCGAGTTTGGATGATGGCTTCTGATGCAACTCCAAGAAATTCTGGGTTTTTACCTCCACTTTAACGGTTTTAGATAAGGGTTGTCGAGATATATTTATGGTGAAGTATTTTTTTCTGTCTCTTCTTCTTTCGACTGAAATTATTTTGCATGACATCCTGCTGGATTTTCGATTCAATTTTAAGTTTATTTTTCTACTTCGATCGTAAATCGATTATACGCAGCAAATGATTTATAATAAAACTTTATTTCTGCTCTTTTAAATCGCAAATTATTTCACATTAAAAATTTCTCTTTTATAATTTCTTTTGATTGATCGATTGCGTTAACTCCTTTCGTCGATAATTGATTGCATTAGGAAACTGAACATTTTAACAGATGATTTGCAACCGAAACCGATTAAATTAAAAACTCAACAGCTGATTTCAGAGCGTAACTGATTAAGCAAACAAATCCAACATTCTAACAGTAATCTGTAACTGATTAAATAAAGAAACTGAACATGTTACAGTTCATTTGCAACTGTAACGATAAAATAAAGATGTTGAAAATTTTAACACTTGATCTGTAACTATAACCGATTAAAGTTAGCAATCGATCAACACTACATTAAACAAATATTTTAACAACTAACTGAGATCGTAACTAATTAGAGAAGCTTAACATTTTAACTAATTAAGTAAAGAAATCGAATATTTTTAGCAGCTAATTTGCAACTGTAACTGATTAGCATTACATTACGAAACTGAACAATTTAATAATTGATTTTAAACCATTAAAGAAAACTGAATATTTTAACTAATGAAATAAAGAAACCGAACATCTTAACAGTTGATTTACAGCCGTAACTGACTAAATAAAGAAAATGAACAGTTAAGTAATTGTTTGCAACTGTAACTGATTAAATGAAGAAAGTGAACATTTTGACAGGTGATTTGCAACCATAACTGATTAAATTAGGAAACCGAAGCTGATTTGAAACCGTAGCTGATTAAATTAGGAAACTGAACATTTCAACAGCTATATTTGGAACCGTAACCGATTAAATTAGGAAACTGAACATTTTAACAGATGATTTGAAACCGTAACCGATTAGACAAGGAAACCGAACGTTTTAATAGATGATTCGAAGTAATAACTGAATATATTAAGAGCAAAATTGAATGATTTGCACAGTAATACATTGTATTAAACCCTTCTGTAGCTAAGTACAAAAAATAAGCTCATTGTATCGCTAACTCACCAATATTTAAATAATTTTACTAAATTATATATAAAGAAGATTTTAAATAATTTTAATTATTTTTAAATAAATTATAAATTACTTTGCGCTATCAGATAACATCTGAGAATTTATTCCTAATTGATAAATTTTTTTTCTAGTTTTGCTAACACATCTAATCACGTAAAATAATTTAGTAGAAGATATTATCTTTAAAAAGATGATTAATTTTTAAAAATCTTTTATAGCGAAAATTCATTATCAGCTTTCTGCATTAACTAATAAAGATTTCGCGAGAGTAATAAAAGAAATCGGGGAAAATGTACATTTTAAAATTAAATATTTATTTAGATTTTTAAAAAAACTCTGTAAATCTATAATAAAATTATCGATTTTATAGTTAAAATTAATTGTTCTTAATCGTGTTTAATGTATCGATTGTCATTAACAGTCAATAACTTATTATGTAGTCGAGTTTAAATGATTATTCTCATTACATGCCATTGATCTCTTGAAGCGAATTATTTTTTCTTGTTTCATCTACAGCCAATTCCTCTTTGATTGCATGAATCACTCGATTAAATTATAGAATAATTTCCTGTAATATGTGTTACTACTGATCGTTTTATATAAGTCTTTTTCGATAGAATAATTTAAGGTTCTTAACTCTTAAAAAATATAAAATAACATTAAGAAAACTTAAGTTTTAATGGTAAAACGTTCATGAGTTTATATTATAAATTTTTATCTAATTTAATAACGAGAAATTTTATTTTTATGCATAAAAAAAATATAAAAAGTTAATAAAAATGCTGGACTAGTTTAACTTTAAAACTACTTAAACCAGTGCAAATTTTAAGGAATTTACACTATAGAATTTTTTTATTAATTAATATTGACAGATTTAGTATTTTTACATGTAAAAAAAAGATAAAAATTAATTAAAATGTTAGAAAATTATTACGAAGTTTTTATGATTTACTGTTAATTAGAATTTCATACAATCGCTTACAAGAATTTGATCTTGATTATTATCTAAAGAAAATTTAAGCGAATAATTTGAAGTTGTTTCTTTAAAGCTTTTACAGTTTCTATGCAGTTTATCACTTTGAAAGCTTTCGCTGATGCGATGTCAAAGGCTTTTAGGTGTCGGGATATGCCCCAAACCATTGTAGTTACGTCGCCAGCTTTGTACGAATAACGTGATTTAAAACAAATGTCACGCTCACGAGGCGCTTAAGATAAAAACATGCCGGCTTCTTAAAGCAGTTTAATAAGAGGAAGATATTCGTATCTGAAAAAGAAATTTCACGCTATAAAAACCAATGATCGTTCTGTAACGTGACCACGAATATTTAATGCGATATCTCGTCTTAAGATGTGAACTTTTTCAGAAAGAAAAAACCCACGTGATCTCTGTAAAATTCACAAACCGTCTTCGTGAGGAAAATAATTTTATTCTTTCTCACTTCCTCTTTTAACCTTGTTAACCTTAAGTTACTTTTATGCAGCTAGATCGACGCCATTTACCTCGCAATCTTCTCCATGCAAAACATAGATCCTAAACAGCTAGAATGTTACATAACAACAAACCGGACGAAGGTATGAAAGTAAATTGCTTCTATAATTGAAAATTAATATGTTTGCTTCGGTTCGGTCTATTTATTTTTTAATATTTCAAATAATCTGACACCATACTCGATCACTATTTAACCGGATTTTATTAATGCCGATCTACAACTACATACATACATACATACATAAATACATACGTCCAATGAATAATGGCACACAATATGTACAAATCAGTAAGGACGCATGTCCATTTTTTTGTTTTTTTTTGTTTTTTTAAATGTGGTCCTCCGAACCGACAAATCTTAAGCTACAGTTATTGACTAGCAATTAACTCCACGTCTACCCCCAGTTACCGGTTATCATAAGGTGAATCTCCACTTCCATAACCACTGGAACCATCATCTCGATTATGGGAGGTTTCCAGCTCTTGCGTCTGACGTTTGATCTGGGCCAAACTGTTGTAACTGTACGGCATGGAAGCGAATAAGATCCTCTCCTCGTAATCATATTCGCACAAAATTTTGTTGTCGTAAAGGTAGAACCTATCGCCCACGCAAAACCTGCAAGGATACAATTTTCTAAGAATTAACAGAATTTTTCCCCCTCAAAGTAATTAAAAGAATTAATCAGTGCGCTTCGTAACATTAGAACATGATAAATATGACAACTCTGCCAAATAATTAGATTTAATTCTCGAGAAAACTACTTTAAACTACGATTGAACAAGCTACATCTTACAGTTTCATGTTACAAGACTACAACTTAAGGTCTCATGCTTTTAAATTTATTATTATTTAATGGAGGAGAAGGGCCTCTTATGTTATAGCTTACGGCTATAATAAGTTTAACATGTTTGCTATATTAAATCAAAGCTCTAAATAATGCTATTAAATGCATAAATACAGCTCTATGAGAGAATCATAAAATAAACAAGGAACATCTTTTCATCAAGAGATTAAATCTATCAATGTTTACTAACTGATAAAAGATTAATGCAATATCTGGGGTTCGTTACTGATAAGACTATAATTTTAAGCAATGAAAGATTGGATTATATTAATGGGATAAGGCAACGCAACACATAGGCGATCTGCCAAAGGGGGTGCCTTTCAGGAGAACTTTTATGTGAAACTGGCTTCTATTTAGGTGTTAGACACGTGAAGAAAAGCCGGAAAACTCCACATGGGCAGCCCGTTGATGAGGAGGAACCCATGACCAATATTCAGTAGTGTTATCCATTCGGCCACTGGTGGGCTTAAGCAACGAAAGGTTTTCAGTCAATGTAAAGAATGACGATAACCAAATTTCGATCGTTCTCTAATATATTTTATCCATAAACACTCAGGAATTTATTACTTAAATTAGTTCTAAAAACTTTTCACGTTATTCATATTACAAATTCTAATTAGTCACAAAAGAGGTTAAATAAACTCAAAAGTTTTTCAGTAAGAGAATTACAGTTTTTAACTTAAAAAAAACTATTAATAATCGTCTTGTTTTAACCATAAATCAAATAAAAATCCAGATGTAAATCCACATCAGATAGATTTTGTTTAATAAACAGATCCCATTATGTGAAGGACATGAACGTTAATCTCAAGCAAACTTCTTGAGAAATTCTATCCTCACCTACAATTTTCCCACGATTTGTTGAAGAGTGAAACGTCATTCAACTCAACATTTTTGTTTACTGCTCGGTCTCATTGTTGACCATACGTCAACCTGAAGATTGGAAAGAGAAAACATACTGCTAGTATAGGCTTAGTTAGTATTAACACTAAGCTGATCCTATTTAAATTACAATCATATAAAGTTAACTCTAGTGGTTTAGAGGAGCAAAAAATTGATAATTGACCATATACGAACTATATTTTCGTCAAAATTATGATAATATATTTACAATTTTAATTGAAAACATTTTATAAGTGTAGTATATAATGTCGTGGTCATTACAAGGGTAAATGAGTAAGAAACAATGCAATTTTCGCTTCTAAACATCAATTTAATGTAGATAGAAGTTAGCCTCTCTAGGCTAACTTCTATCTACATTAAATTCTATCTAATTTTATCCTAAGGCTATTTTCCTACACTATCATAAGGTTAATGCATACCAAAAGCATTAAATTTTAATTTTATTATAGTTATAATAGCTAAAAACTTTAAAATGTTTAATTTTAATGTATAAAAACAGTTGTGGATACGAAAATGTTACAATAATAATTGAAATTATTTATTTAAATATAATTTTTACGCAAAAATTGTTCAACTGACGTCAATTTCGGTAATAATAAAATGAACGTTCGAAACAGGATAATTTAATTCTATCGAAGAAAAATTATCTCAACTAATTAAAAATAATTCGATTTTTTAAATAACTGTTTAAAGTTAATTTATTCTGAAATTTGTTCGTTCCTTTTTTTTTCTATACGTATTTTATATACAGAATAGTTCAAAGGTCAGTTAACCATTGCAAACATTAAATTGCTGTCTTATTTATTATGTTTCTACAAATTTTATAGAAGAAAAACACATTTTTCTAAACTCAGATTCGTATTCTAGACACATAAAACTTGGTTAACGGATTTTGCTCCACCCTACATATCCTGGAAAATGAATATGGACTCTTAAAATTAAAGAAATTCGAGATGTATAGGTTGTCCCATAAATCTAGGAGAAAGACTTTTTCTTTTACATGTAAAGCATGGCGCTATGTAAAGCATGGCGCTGAGTAAGGAGGAACGAATTAAAGCATGGCGCTGAGTAAGGAGGAACGAATTCGTTATTTTGATAGTGAGGACTGGCAGTTAGTATGAAGTTGTCGAAGACTTTAGCAGGCTGCATCCAAACTGCTGTATGTAATTAGTAGAAAGTCTGGGGTCCATATCATCAAAATAACTTGAATTTGTTCCTCCATAATTAACACTACTCTTTACCTGTAAAAGAATAAACAAGGATCATCACAGATCTTACGATTCCAGACTTATGGGACACCCTATATATTAGAAACAGAGATCGATTTAAACTGTTATATAAAATTTGAAGGATTAGATAGAGAAACTATACAAAATTTGGGAAAAAATTTTAAAAATCTCCGATAACTTCTGTATATTTTAATATTCATAATTTAATTTGATTTTAGAATTTTTGCGGTTGAAAATTACTTTCAAACAATTAACTACGATGTATTTAAGAGCTAATTATGTAAATTAACTTTTGAGAAACGTTATAATCAGTTACAGAATGAAAACTTCTTTATCACATTTTAAATTTCTATGACTTTCTAAATGTTCATCTGCATCAAAAATTAGCATTTTTTCTTCTTTTATAAGCTTTTTTTTTATTTAAAAATAATGAATACGATGATTCATCCAAAGGTTCATTCGTTTTGTCCGAAAAGTGCACTCTTAGGTCATTTTGGTATCATTTTTGTGCTTTTTTTATAATGAGGAAGCGTAAAATGACATCAAATTGACGTAATAATGTACACTTTTCTGACAAAACGAATGCACTTAAGATTTTAATATATAATTCTAAATCATGCTTAATATTCTGTTTAATATTCAAAATGGTAATTATTTAAAAATAATCAAAGTAAAATTTAAACTCAAAGAAGAGAAGGAGGAATTGTCATTCTCTTTAGAAATTTTGAAGAAAATTTGACTTTTAAAATCACATTTTAAAGTTCAAATTCAAATTAGTAAATCTATCAAGCTAATATAATAAATATAAGATAATATAATTATTAATTTATTTGTTATGAATATAATGCTTAATAAAAATTGTAATTTTCACTCATTTTTCTCGGAAAAGAATTATTTACATTAACGTAAGCTAGAGGTATAACCTATTATTAACAATTTATATATCATTTACCTTATACTATTACAGTAAAATCCCGCTTTTAACATTTATCAGTTTAACGTTTACCCGATTATAGGTTCATATTTAATTGTTCCCGTTTCTATTGCTCCACAAAGCACAAAATCCCTATTCTAAGTTTACCTCGATTTTAGCTTGAATCTGTTGGTCCCCGAGAAAACGTTAAATAGGGGTTTCATCATTTACTTTTAAATAAATTTAGAAAAATCAACTAATAATTAATCAACGACATTAATAAGAAATATAACAAAAACTATGAAAAGACGAAGAGACCTCGATATAAAAGAGAAAAAATTGAATCTTACACTATAGGCGAAGTGGATAATTGTAATAAAAAGCATATAGAAAATTGTGAAAATATAAGAAATTAAGTATGATCCACTTAATATAGCTATATTATAAAATATTTTATTGCACATTATAATGATGTTTTTCTCTTAAAAATATTGATTATCATGAACTAATGATAAAATGATGTAATAATAATCAATAATAAATCTATCATAATGTTATTTTTATATCCTACTACAATGCTAATTCCTACACTACCTTAAGGCAATTTCTCATCCTATCATAAGACTATATTTTTACTCTATTATAAAAAGTTATATTCATATCATATCGTAAGCTTATTGCCATTCTATCATAAGGACATATTCTTAATCTATCATAAGGCTAGTTTCACATTTTGTCAGTGGTGAAGCTACCATAGATGCAGACAATGCAACTGCATAGGAGCCTAATTCGATTGGGGACCAATTTAATTAAGAAGGGGCAAAGAGGCTGGAAAACAAAATGTACAATTATACATTAAAGTACAAAATATTGGAAATGAATAATATCAGTATTCAGAAGGGCCCTGAAGAGGCCAGAAATTTACAGGAAGGCTTTTTTTTGCTGCATTGGGCCCAAAATTTGAAGCTCCACTGCTGCCTCCTGTCGTAGTATTTTCTATTCTATCATTACGACATATTCATACTCTCTTATAAATCTATTTTCTTAACTTATCCTGCTGTTTTCCTAACCTATCTTAATGCTAATTCCCACACCACCTTAAGGTAATTTCTCATCCTATCATAACATTAATTCATATCACATTACAAGAATATCTACTTCTTGCACCAAGGAGAAAGAAGAAGAAAAAAAAGCCTTATGTTAAAACAGAAATACTTGCAATTTTCGCGTTTCAATTTAACAGAAAAAGTGACAGGTAAAGAGCTTTATGATGGTTAGATATAATGAAAAAATAGCCTTGAATTTAGTAAATGTCTACCACGTATCAGTTAAAGAGATTATCTATAACGTGAAAGACACTAAATCACAGTACAGTTCAAACGATATTAGTCGGAAGGATAGCATAAAAACCAAAGACAAAGAAACCTCGACTTAAAAGACAGAAAAAAAAATAGATTTTGCACTGTAGATGAACTGGGTACTTGTAACAATAGGCATATAGAAAAGTGAGAAAAGCAGCTCACCTGTGATTACATTGCTGACAGGCAAAGCACTCCAGATGATAGACATTTCCTCGAGCTCTCATCACCATCTCGAAAGCAGGAATGGTTTTGTTGCAAGCAGAACACAGACCAGTAGTCCCAAACAGCCTGAAAGCAAAAATAAAAATATTTTTCTTTTTATTATTTCAATCATAGTTTTTTAACGCTCTTCTTTTAACAGTTTATGAAGTTAATTTGTAATTGTTTATGTACATACGTTTCGGTTCTTAGATGTATTAAAAATTATTTTTAATTGTAAAAATTTTGAAAAAATTTAATTAAATAAAGAAATGTATCGTTAAACTAAATATTTACCATGTTGAAAGTGTGAAATTGTTACAGCCAATAAAAAAATTAGTATTTTACTAAGAAAAATGGAAGACTTTAAAAAGTTTTTATGTTTGATTTATGTGAAGAAGTAATATTTTATAACTTTAAAGTTGGTTTGATTTATATTATAAAAATTTTCTTGAAAAATCAAATTTCTCATGAGAAGCTACTGTAGAATTTATTCATGATTCAATACAAGATTTAGCTCTAAAGACAATTTTGATTAATTAAATCGCGATTTAAAATTTAAATAGATGTATTTTCTTATTACAGCCAAACCTCTGAACAACGGCCACTGACGGAAACATAAAAAATAAATGCCTATTATTTGGGGGTTATTTTGTATGCATTTTTGCTTCAAAGTTCACGAAAAAATGGTCGCTGTTTAGAGGTGGTCGTTATTAAAGGTTCGACTGTATTTCTTTTTACTAATAACTGTTATAGAGGAACAATTAATAGAGGAAAGTTGGACTAGAAATCAGAAGGGCTTAAGTCAAAGAAGAGAAGTTGTCATTCTCTTTAGAAATTTCGAAGTCATGATCTTGAAAATCAAATTTTAAAGGTTATAGTTCAAAGTTCAAATTAGTAAATCTACCAAGCTTATGTTAATATAATTATTGATTTATTTGTTATGAATATAATGCTTAATAATTTGGACTGTCCATCAAAATGACATCATTTAATTTCTAATTAAATTTTGACCTTTTCTTAAAATTGCTTTAAGACGATAACCCTTTCATCTCAAATGTTGAATTAATATTGAATAAAGACAGTTAAAGTGGAAAAAAATCGAATTTTAAAACAAGAAAATGTACTGTTAATTAGATAACCAATAATTTTGTTGGATCATCAACACATGATTTTTTTTTATTAAACAAATCTTTCTCACCTGAGATAGTCTCTCTTGCAAAGGATGAGGTTAGCTTTGGTGAAGAGTGTGCTACCCACTTCTCCCAATCTACAGTCGCAACAAGCGCACTTGAGGCAATCCTCGTGCCAGAATTGATCCAGAGCCTTCAACAGGTATCGTTCACGAATAGGTTTTTGACAACCAGCACAGTCTGTTCCCGTTGTAACTCCTCCGGGCCCTACAGAACGGGCCTGAGTCTCCGTCTTCACTTCCATTTACCCTATGAAAGAACGAATATAATACAAAAATATATTATCTCTATACAACTTCCTTGTAAAGTATCAAAGAGGGTGGAAATTTTGATACATTATATTATATATAAAAGTTATTACAAAGTGTGAATTTGTTCGTACAAACGTGTTTAATCATTACGCTCCTACACAGAAGAAAAGTGCTCACTAGTGGCTGAGTGGATGCAACCACTGAATACAGATTGCAGGTTCGCACCTGACCAACGAGCTGGCCATGTGGTGTATCCCGGGTTTCTTCACGTGTCAAACAATTAAACAGGGCCAGTTTCCCATGGAAAGTCCTCCCGGGAGTCACCCCCTTAGCAGACGCCCAAGTGTTGAGTTTCGTTATGTCATCAATACAATCCATAGAAGAAATGATAAATTAAAATAAAGAAACGAATGTGTGATAATATAAATAAATGCAATTTGCATTATATAAACGTAGAATATGAGTTGAGAAACATTTGTATCTATAAATTACACCAACCGGTTCCTAGTAAAGAGCTAAAGTGATGTGCCAGTAGCAATTAGAAGAGTTATCAGAGTCATTAAAGTGGATTGACACCAATTGTTTAGTCGTAAATAAATCGAACTGAAGCAAATTAAACAATAAAAAATATATAATTTTCCTTTCACTATAAGTATTTTTATTATAAACGTGAATATTATGAAACTCAATTTTCTATAATGTAGCCTAAATCATACGAATCGCAAGAAAAAGTTGCTTTGTAACGTAAAAATTAACAGAAATTTTCAGGTTAGTTGGAGCTTGTAGATTATGTAATTAAGTGAAAATCATTTTTCACTAATTTATTAACCTTAAAAAAATATAAAAAAGATTTTTCATTTGTTTAACAAGTTAACACTTCCTAATTTATTTACAATTAAAATGTATTTTCCATGTTTGTTTCGATTTATGATAAACTTAGAGAAATTATTTTCTATTTTCTATAATTTATATAACAACTTTTTAAACATTTCGTCGTAAAAATTTCAAATTTGCATTGATAAGCCACCATTGGTCGAGTGGGTAAAACCACCGAACGCTGTAGTTGGTCGTGGATTCGCGCCTTACCAACCGGCTGCCCACGTGGAATTTTTACGATTTTCTTTACGTGTTTAACACTTAAATAGAGCCAGTTTACCATAGTAAGTAAGTTCTATCGGGAGGCATTCCCCTCGGCAGATTACCCATGTGTTGCGTTGCCTTATTCCATCAATCCTATCCTTGAATTTGAGTTTCTTGTTAATTATAATTGAGTTATATGTACTGTATAATATACGACTCCAAGTTATTTCTATAAATATAGTTAAATCGTAACATAATTTGCACAAATTAGATGAATTTTTTCAAGTTTTAATTATATTTTCATAGAAATAGACTTAAAATTTGCGAAAGACGGTCTTTACAGATTTCTCTCACTGTGCTGCCTTATTACATAATTTCCTTATCTTCTTCTACTTGTTTATTATGTTAAATATAATTTTTTAAATGTATATCTAAATACAATTTTTAATTTTAAGATTAAATAACACAAACATTAGCTTACGATTCCATCAAAAACGTTTAAGATATATACCTGAAGTAATGGAGACTTTGCAAATGATAAATTTATTTCTCTTCAAAATAAGTAATAACAAGAAAGAAAGAGACGCATGTAAATAACAAGATGAATACTTTATAACTGTAATTTATAAATTAAGAAACAGTTAAAGGTCTATAGAAAGAGTAGACATATTATAAATGATTGTATAGGGCAGTGCAACAAATAGCGATGGTAGACAGGGAAAGAAAAGTTTATGGACAAGAAGACAATTGTATTAGGGACTGGTGTAATGTCTGGCATACGTCAGAAGTGGGCGATATGAAGGTTTCAGTCCAAGGTATACGCCATGTGGCGGCCGAGTTATTACCAAAGTACAAGTTTATTGGAGTCCCGTGTTTGTCTCGATAGGAGGGCGTCTGAACTGTAATTACATGGTTTTTCTGAACCTATTATTTGCCCGCTCCTAAATCATTTTTTTATTCGTTATTGAAGCTGATTGGATGGAAAGAACTGTTGGCCGTTATTCCTCTTCTAGTTTTCTTGTTTTTTTCCCTTTATTTTTTTCATTATAAGCGATTATTTCTGCCCAAGAAGATCTGAAAAGGATGAAGTGTATGATGTCAAATCAATTTCTGAAGTTTTATTTATTATGTTGTCTATTTAGACCCTCCGTTCTTAGATTTGAAAGGGTGGAGTTAAGATCTAAAGGAGTTAGGAAAAAAAGTATAATTATAATTTTAATGACTTTTATTTATGATTATTTCGTTACGAGAGATTTAAATTTAATATATTATAAGGAAATTTAAACAATTTTCTGTTATTTTTAACAAATACTTTTTTTCCCATATTTTTCTCAAATTAAGTGCTTTTAATAAGTTAAGTAAATTGATGTACTGTACCTGTGCTTATGAAGGATGTAAGAAGTTAAGTAAATTGGGAAAAATACTGCGTTAAAAGTGTTACTTTCGAGAGATTTTAGAAATTTTGATTAAAATTCTAATTATTTTATACATAAAATATAAATAAATGAAATATATATACATATTTCTTGCTAAAATGGACAAATCCAAATTGATGATGACGATATCTTTGCATTTAGTTTCGTTTAACTTACCATATATTCATCATTATAAGACTTATTAAGAAAATACAACAAAGTGAAGATTTTTAGAGACTAGAGCATGATATTCTCTCAGCAATTTTATAAATTATTGAAAAATTGAATGGGAAAAGAGCTATCAAACTTAGTTTTTCTTACTTACAATTTTACATATTGATGCTTCACATATAAAGTTTCAAATGATTTCGTTTAATTCTCACAACTCTGCTATAACTTATTTATAAAAATTATAATTAATCTAAATAAACTAATATTTTAAATTATAGAATTCTATATAGATTATCTGTTAAAAATTCTAAGCACAGTTCTCCGTTCTCTACCTTAAAACGTGGTCCCCCTCAATCCATTTTTAACACATTACATTACATAGCTAGACTAAATTTCAATTTAATTAATTAATTTAGACATAATTATCAATCGAGGAGCCTTCAAACAGCATCAGAATGCCGCCATTTTGGCATTCTAAAGCCTTAAAAATATAGAGTTATACACATAAAGTAAACTTGCATCGGATGTAATAAGGCGAAAAAAAATTAATTAAGCTCTAAAACTAATTTACGAAAATGGAAAAAATTCCAGAATTTATCTCGAATTTTAACATTTTTTTCTACAAAAAATCTATTAAAATTTTCGCATATAATATCATAAATCAAATTCAATCGCGATACTAATCATCAACTGCCGAATTAACTTGATAAAGAGAAGGGTTTTAGGGGGGTCTAGCTTCACTCTTCTCATTAGACTGGCCTTATCAGCAACGTGTAAATTAAATTTCAAGTAATCGTTTGTTGTTTTAGATCCATTAACTTTTAACAAGGAGATGCTAGTCATCATTTTAATTGACGTAATAATTTATCAAGCTATGGCCATGTGTGTTCATTTGCGCTTGTTCTCCCTTATCTGATCGCCATATGATGACATCGTTATAATAAGCATTAAATGTGCAAATGGAATCGCATTTTAGGTATATAGGTGACTACTAAATGGATATTTACATGCTATATAGGTAGAACCTAATTAGGTATTTATCTTATAATTTTAAAATGCTTTTATCTCACTGGTCCTACTCGTTATGCCCAACAGCAGAACGGAACTCGTTACGCTTTTTTATATTGAAATTTCGCTTGTTACCATAAAAAACGTAGCCGTTTGATGATTATGTCTATATAAATGAATGTATTTAGATTGTTACATAGTTATTTTTTTTATTATTATAAAATTTGCTTTAACAGTTTCGTAAAATTCTAACTTTGCGTTTTGATAGAGAATTTAGTTTTAAAAAAATATATTTTTTAGATTTATATTTTTGTAGTTAAAAATCATAAAAATTGTTTCTGTATCTATAGCTTTTAATTTAATAAAATTAATTTATTTGCACAAGAACGGCGGTTTGCATCCCCCTTTCTTTTACCGAAAAACTTTTGGCGCTCTGTGAAATGCGTGAAAAATGAAATAATTTAAAAAGAAAATTGCATTTATTATTTAATTACAAGAAATTTAATTCGTTAAAATGCCAAAAAAATTCAATACAAAAGAGGAACATAATGTTCAGCGACCGATGGATTTAGAACTCAAACCCCAAAAACAATTTAGTGGAAACCAAACATTCGATTAATAGATGATGCTACCATGGTAACAAATCCTTCTCACCTAGTCCTAGTTAGAGGGACAATTATGACGTCATGCAGTAGAATGATGACCTGGGCGAATTAGTGTCGTCCCTCAAGCTCGACTTAATGACTTGCTAGGATGTCTTATCAGATGGCGCTGGGATCACAGTTAATGCGAAAGCACCATGGATTTCATCAATGTAATCCGACGTATATTTCATTCCATAATCCTCCTTCTAGAAATGACGCCAGCCTGTACTGTAATAGGGTTATTAATTACGAAAGACCGACATTAACCAATTCTATCGACTCTGTTGTGCACCACATAAAGAATCTCCGCTTGTAAAATTAACCAATTTCGATCGGATTTTTAAGGATTTTTAGTTAGAGTTGACAATTCCCGTGTTACGTATCGATTGCGATGTTACGCACGCTTTCCACTTCTACCCCATTTTTCTCCCTTTGGGGGTGTATGCTTAATGGTCACGACGTTGCATTGACATTCAGTGAAGAAGACGAAAATATCGCCGTTTGAAATTCCCACTGTATCATCGAGTGAAAAGTATTATGCCATTAGATTTCTCCTTCTATTCATTTAGATTCTTACATCGTTTCCAGTCAAAGAAGCGAAATCATTTGCATTATTTACGTTACGCGTATTGCTTATATTACGGCGCATACTAACTTCTTTAAAATCTGACAAAACTGCGATTTAATAATATAAAAATTCTATTTTAAAATTATATTTTTCAGTCATTTTTCCAATAATAAATATCCTAACTTCTTTTGTATGCTTCTCCGCATCACTTCATTCTCTTCCATTATAAACAGCAGCGCGTAATAAACGTCATTTTTAAAATATACCAATAAAAAATGTTAAATTATATAAGCCATATTCTACATCATAAAACTTTATAATTTATGATAAATGTAAGAAATAATCCTTTAATGTTTAAACTGAATTACTACAGACCTATTTGTAGTTCATTAAAACGTATGTCTCTCATCTTTCATAGTTGATTCTCAGAATAGTTCTTCGTTTAAACTAACAGGATATTCCGAATTCTTTCGCAACATTCGGGAAGTTAGGTAGATTATTCGCAAACACATGTTATTTTTCAGAAACGTCCTGAACATCCTGTTTCAGAATCTACCGTTGGAATTTCTGCATTTTAGATAGATCCAACCCTACAAACTTGAATTCATATCTACGCTCTTAAAAGACTTCTTGCTTGTGGATGAAGTGAAAAACTCATAAACTTGTTTGAATTTAGAGAATGTAGTAACATCTTTCATCTATCTACATACAACGAGTTTAATTTCAAATAACATTTTCTCCATTAACTTTCTCCCGTTAGAATTATTATTACACGACTTTAGCTGAAGTACACATTTTTAGAACTCTCGGAAATTTTGAAATTGCCGAATGTAGTTTGAATCTTTCATAATTGTAAAAAGAAATTAATTAGATAAACTTTTAATACCAAGTTTAATAAAGATTTCTATGCTGAAAGAATATCTTTTACTTTACTTCTACACCCGTATATAAGATGAAATCGTATAGTTTTTCCTGTGACGTGAATCTTTAAACATATTCCATACCAGGCCGGATTTATGTATAAGCTAAACAAGCTTCAGCTTTAGGGCCTCATGCTATGAGGCCATAAGGGCTTTAAGCTTTCAAATTTATTATTATTTAGTGAAGGGTAAAGGATACCTTATATGTCATGGCTTAGGAACTAAGTCTAAATTCTGTCCTGTCCCACACGGTGATTATTATTAGCAATCAAGTAAGCTAAGATTCTTATCATTTCTTGTCAATGAATGAAAATATACATTTTTAGCAATTATAAAAGATACATTACAAAAGTACAAACCTATATACTTAAATTAAGACTATAATCATTATTTTATGGCCTCAAAAAATTAAAATTTGTTGTTAAATCCTGCAAGTCAGCAGCTTATTCAATCACATTGTACGACTTAAACGCTCCTGTTTAAGCAAAAAACATTAATTTACATTCAATTTCTCTAGAATGGAGTTAAGTGAAGGTTTTTTTCTATGTAATTTTGTAGTTTTTACCTTTCTGACATATCAAACTGGAGAACTGACTTATCTTGAATTCTCTAACAGCATATAGCTTAACGCACAGCACAATTCGCTATTTTTAAACATAGCTTTATTTTAAAAAATCTCACACTCAACTAACTAAATCTAAAATCTAAATCATAGAATTGATTCGATTTCAATATATAAAAATACTCTTAACATAAAAAGTTCGTTGGAATTAACATAAATCGTGAAGCTATGCAACGACACGTGAACGTGACACGCAACGAATTGGTATTTTCGTTCATTTAACTCGCGTCAAACCATTTTCGAAAATCTTCACGTTCAACACACGAATAAAACCTTTCATCACTTTTGTTATCGTTCTCATTTAAAAGTTTTCAAATAATTAATTAATTTTTATCTTCCAATCTTTAATTAACCCCATTAAAAATTAAGTAATTAAAATGATTTTTCTTTAATAAAATTCAGAAAATATTCAATAATTAAGCAAACAACAAATAAATAAAGGAAAAAGTATTCGATCTTCTATTTTCCTTTTTATTTTCCACCATTTCTCTTTTGAGAAATCGTTAAAATACATATTTACTTACGCCGATTGCGTTATTAACGTTATAGATATTGGTGAGAATTTTTTCTATATAAAGATTGTTAGGTTAGAGAGAATTTTAATCCGTTTAAAATCTCTTTCACTTTAAATGATTCGCTTCCATTGAATAATTTATCAGAATGTAGTGATATAGTAATCATCTTAATGCATCTTCACATCTAGGTATCTTCGCTAGAGCATAATATAGAGCAAGCACTAATGTCGGACAAACATTACAGATGCGATTACCGGCAGAAACGAAAGCCAACAGAACACAAAATTGAACTCGACCCATGTTCAACCACTAAGTAAACATGTGTGGCAATCTGTTTCGATTAAGTTCGCGACGTGGACGAAATTAACACTCAATCGGAGAATCCCCAGGGCTATCTATTGGAAAGGACCTTCATTACATCCTCCACGACCAAATCGGGTCAAACCTTGTCTATCACCGGGTTGATCAATCGGATCGAGTCGACACTCGGCAAGTAAATGAGGTAAACAATAAGAAGAAAGCACAACCGGCAACTAAACTGTAAATGCCAAAGATTTAGCCTTGTTATCGCAAATAAGGTATCTTCCATAAACATGACGTTGCAGCGGTCGATACCAAAGGTCCCGTTAGAAATGGAGTAGTAAAAAAAGTAAGCATTTGCCGTATCTCGTTAAACATTAAACAAATTTAAGAAACCATAAAACAAACTCACCTTCCACATCTGTTAAATCAAAGTAGAAAGATCCGCCCGATTTCGAAAGCATCCGATCCGAAAATTCGAACGTCTACACTTTAAGTTACACAGCATACGACTGATGCCGCTACAACGATCCGGATGATTTTAACCAGGCCCGACGGTAGCGCTCTCCAGTGTCGATTTCGCGAACTACCAACACGCCGTCGACCATGCTAATAGATTATTTTAATTGATGTTTTCCATATTAAATAGATAGGAATATGCGGACTTATGATTAATCGGTCAATGTCGTTTATGTATCGTATCCTTTTCTCTATTTCCTCCCCGTTATAATCAGGAATTAGTGCTTTGGTGCACAAGTGCAATCTTAATTAATGTTTGTTCGCTTTTGACTAATGCTGCCATCACCGGTTTAGTTTATGGTCACAGACTAGTTCAATGCAAATGCATTTGCAAATGTCTACCAACTCTATCTATAATCTTTTATGAATGGCGCCGATTCGCATGAAAATTTGCTCCTGCTCCAAGCAAATTAATGCATAAAAAATGCTTCTTTAATTAAAAAAAAACAAATCAAAACATTCATCAAAATTTAATAATCATTTAATTACTTGTAAAGCAATTTTGAACTATTAAATTGAGGTAGTTTAATAAGAGAAACGATGTATTTATGATTTTAAAATGAATTTCCAACTTAAACATTAATTTTAGAATATAAATTATGTTATAAACTAGATTAACAGACTGAATTATATATATATATATATACACTCCTATAAATTACATATTTAATAAAATATAAAAATATTTCAAAAAATTGTGGATATAAAATATAAAAATTAATTAAAACTTTTTATAANTAAAACTTTTAAAATTCTGTTAACTTACACTTAAAAAACTTTAATTTAATTAATTTTTTTCCTGTTTAAATTGTTAAATAAATAAAAATTTATAAGGAATTTATCCACTTTTAATTAAGTTAATTTTAGTTGAAATATAATTAATTTTTAGTTAAATTGAATATCTATTATATAAAGTTTTAATAAATTTTATGTTTATATAATTTTAAAAAATAAATTTATATAAATATAAAGTTTGAACTTTACTTAATTTCTTAATTATTGTTGATCATTAAACGTGACTTTTACAAATATAAAAACAATTTTTTTTATGTTTAGTTATAATTACTAACTTTTATAATTATTTATTTAATTATAAAATGTGTTAATTTGGATTTTGAGAAATTAATTTTTGAAGTAAAATATAATTAGTTTTCTTGTTTAAATTTAAAATCTTTAATTAATTTTAATAGAAAAAAAATTATGTTTAACTTTTCTGTTTATATCATTTTAGAAAGTTATATAAATATAAAGTTTGATTTTTATTTAATTTCAATTGGTCATTAATTACATTAAAATTTATTTTAAATATTATAAATATACACATTTTTTATTATGAAATCTATATTTAACGATGTAACTGATATAAATTTAAATTTATTTAATTAATTATAAAAATACATATATTGAAAACTTATTTATAAAAAATTAAAGTATATAATTAATTTCTAATTAAATATAAGATTCTCCAAAAATAATTCCCAGTTCTGTAGTACGTGTGTAGTCTTGTATACGTATAAAGGGGCTATATATAGGCTTATATATAACAGAATTATATTAAACATAATTTAAAATGTTCGGTGAAGGCTTCACAATGAATTTTTTATAAGGGTCCTACGGCTAATATTTGTTTATATTATTTTAATTTAAATATCCATAAAAAATTGATTTTAATCATTCGCAATTTAAGTTTAAAAAATTATTAATTTTTAAGTAAATAAATTAAATTTTCAAGTTGCATTTACAAAGCAGAGATTTTTTTTATGGTTTTGTAAAAGAATTAAATGACACTCGATTCACAAAGAAAGAATTTCAATTATACGATTTTAAATATTACAAATAAATTAAAGAAATTGACGAATCGCTGATGAAATTCCATTAAATTTCAATGTAAACAAATGAAAAGTTGGTCATCTGGAAATGAAATTAATTCCTCCTCCATTTTTTCTCCTCTTCATTCCTTCTCAATTTAAAAATAAATTTTAATTTAATAAATAAATAAATCATTTTATTACTTCAGTTTAAAAAAAAAATAAAAAAGTTATAAAATTCAAATTAATTTTATTATAAAATTTAAATTTTTTAATTAAAATTAATGAAAAGGTAAACCTTAAAAATCATCTTGATGAATAAAGTATTATTGCATCGTTTATTTTATATATATTACATAAGCTGTGTAGAGGTTCTATATAAATTAATTAGGTGAACTTTCAGTTTTTTAGAAAATATACTGTATTAATTGTAAAATATTTTGAATAAAGCATACAAATTTGCAATATTTTATATATTTTTCATGTTTAAAATCTTATTTTTGTTGCTAATTCAAATATTGAGAAACTTATCCTCCAGATCTCATCATTTATTTACCTTAAAGGTTTACACTGTTTACAGTTTTGTACAAATTTAAATATCTTTTATTTGATGTCCTGCATTTTATTTTTCTCTTCTACATTCGAAAGTTCAATCAGAATGCTTAATATTTTCTAGTTTCTTGAATTATATTTATAAGCATTAATTTTTCAATTTTTTTTTTTTTTTTTTTGTATTCTTACCTTTATAAAATTTATTTATTTTTGTATGATTTTAAGCTAATTTTACTACAAATAATCAGCTTAAAAATAAGAATTTTATTTAACAAAAAAAAAAAATCAGTATTATTTTAAAAATTTAAGTTTAAAGTATTAGATTTTACATACAGTTTCAGTAAAGAGGAACGCATTAGAAAGATTAAAAAACAGAAAAAATTAAGTTAAAATTTTACAAATAACCATTAAATTGTCATTAGCAATCTACGCATTTTGTATTAATTAGATTTTTAAGAATATTTTTTTTTAACACGTAAATGATATAGTGTTAAAGGAATTTTAGTTGAGAAGTTCTTAGATACAAAGTAAAGTGGGAAAGATTGAGTATGATGGAATTTCTATAATTCCTAATAATTTTAAGCTCGGAAATGAAGGTTGCTACATTTTTCATGTGTCAACTGTAAAGTAAAGAATCGTGTTTATTTCGAACAAAAACTTTAGAAAGTTTAGAGAAACATGTTTTTCTTTGATCTCAAAAATCGTTCGTCTTTCGCAAACAGATGAATAATCATCCAAGTCACGATCCATTTCGTCAAGTTTTAACATTAGAAAAAATTCACTTTATGAATCATGACTGAACATCTGACAAAAACCAGTTGTACAACTGGACGTCACAACAAATAACCGAGCGTCATCTGTCGAGTGACAATTATCTATCGCACCAGATGTCATTCCGACGCGTGACGTAATTGGTAACGAGTGCAGACAGCGCCCCATAGCGGAGATGAGAAATATGACGCCCTCACAAAAATCGCCTCAGTGTAAAATTTCGAAAGAAAATAATACAAAAGTTTCCAAAGAGAAAACACCTGGGAATATACTACATAATTTGTTAAAATTGCTATATTAATATTGTTATGTTCAGTTCGTTCACAACTGTAATGTTCGTTTAATTTTCGAAAAAATGATTACAGGAGACATTCAAATAACCGTCTAAATACTGCATACCTCTAACTCAACTACTTTTTTTTTTAAATAATTAACCATCAACTTCAGTTACATCAATCCTTGTTTTGCGATACGTCATGGATTTTGATTCGAAATGGATGCGGAATTGATGAAAAATTTAAGTTTTAATCGTGCCAAGTCGAGGATTTTGAATGAAATCAGCCGTTTTCGCTAACGTTAATTCGCGCGTATTATTGTGGACATTTTAAATCCCTCGCCTGGAAGACTTTTGACATGCTTATGAATAATTATTTAGATATTATAGCGAAGTTAGAGCAAAGTTATACGCTGTATCGAGGTAAATGTATCACTTTCATATGGATGATTCATTACATAATTAGTCTATAACACCGTTTTTCATTGCTGCGAGTCTACAATTAAGTAGAGCAAATAAGATTATTTTGGCTCCTGTATCAAGATGGTGAATTAATGAGAATAAAATTGAGAGTTACTTAGAAAAAAATTTGTTCCGTCGATGGAAAGGGATCTACACTTTCTTTACGTGTACATCACTCGATTAAATATAAATGCCTTTATTTTATAATTACGTTATAAAGTATGAAAATTAGTTACTTCGACAGAGTTGTTTGTCGTCGGAACTTCAAACCGGAATTGTTTAGTTTATAAAATTATGGAAGCATATTTCCTTTCATTAAAAATTTATTTAATTTTATATTTTCTAAATTTTTTATAAACCATCAAAATATTTTTAAAATTAAGTTTATTAACAAAATTTTAAATTTAGACCATAATATATGTGTTAATTTATATTAAACATTTCTGTAATAGAATTTGCTGTCGATTTGTAAGATTTATCCAACATTTTTTTTATCTAAATGTGAAAAAATTGATTAGTTTGTTAGAGCTGAGTTTCAAAGGGCACATTCCTGTACAAGTTATGTTCTGCGATTAGTAAAAGTTATCGATATTACAAGAAAAAACTTTATAACTAGGTCGGTCCAACTGCTAATTTCAACCATTTTTTTAACCCCTCCGAGTTACATCTGAGGAAATCGGGTTTCCGTCCCTATAATTTACTATCATGGGACACAGTGTCTCAGGCATTACCAAACAAGATGTGACGAATACAGATGACGCGGCATCTCTCCCTGTTGTCTTTCGTCGCAGCTCTTGTCACAAAGAGCGCTCTTAATGCAAGCGAAATGTCGCCCCTAGTGGCTTCTGACGGCTTCTAGTTAACTAATGGAGTCTACCGGACATTTGTATTCATTTCCTTTATCTATTCCTGCAGGAAATCAACGTCGTCAGATACCTGGATGATGTTCTTTGTCGAAATGGGCGAAAGATGCGAGTTGGTCCAATAAGTGACACACGATATACTTTTGCATGTCGCAGTTCAAAATGCGACGGATTCACATCAATTTTTTCCAGATTTCTAAGCGTCCGTAATTTTGTTCCTTTGTGAGAGATAACAAAAGTTTATAACTCTTTACATAAAATGCTTACAACGAGAAATCTCAGAAAAAAAAGAAAAATG